CTTAGAATACTTAGAATGTCTTAGAATACTTAGAGTAATAGGTGACGTTTATATGAGGATGCCGCTTCATTCTCGCGAGACCTTGCCCCTACAATTTGTTAATGGTAGCTTGCATGAAGTAAAAAGAGGCACTGTACATATCAAGAACCACTTACATATATATATGTACTTATTGCTAATATTACTTACACAACTGTGGGAGGTGCAATTTTGTCCATGATATCATTTACAAGGTAAAATTTTGTCACGACAGTGAAGACAGAGGCTGTGTTATTTTCTATTTTGTGTACCATTACAACACAAACTCGTGGTGATATTTATGCTAGAGTACTCTGACAGTAATAATATATTCACTATATAACGTATTTGTTTTTTTTATTTATTTAAGAGATAGTAATGTTAAAGGCATGTGGAGAACCCTGGAAATGAATCAATAAATCTTTGACTTACTCGTGGTAACTACATGTTACTGGTCGCTGCCTATATTCTGAGTGGAATTTAGTAAAAGAATATCCCAAATTCGTCACTATTTACGCCCATCTCGATGTGAATAAAATACGCAATTGATTGATAGTGGATTTAAACACAAGGCAAACATAATGCATGGCCACATGAGTAGCATTTTGGTCTTGTCTATTTAAAACGTCATTCTATACCCCGGTTAAATGGTGGTTTGCAGTTAGCTAATCCATTTTATTCACTTTGTGAAATTTACTGTGTATACAATGAACTAAGGTATAAATTCCAATAACTCACCTATCAAATACTATTTATAACATAAAATTATATATTGTCTTTGTATTTTTGGCAAAATTTACATGCACTTGTGTTTATGTTGTAGGGTCATATATGGTAGAAACAGACTAAGCATCGTGGATTCCTGATTGGGAAGCCTGCAGCTGAACTTAAGTACTGCTGAAAAGGTTACTCAACCTTATTACACAAAAATTAGTATAATGTCTCCATCTAGTGAGACGATAATGTACTTCAGGTGCACTTCGTGCTGCGAATGTTTTTTTACTCGATCAGCGTTTCTAAATCATGCCGAGAGAGTTCACTGTAAAGTACTGGTGTGTCAAGGTCATGACCCTGAGGAGAACACAGAGACTGACACTGTTGACAACATAGAAGCGCAGCCGCCTTCACAACGACTGAACATCGACTATGAAGCGGCAGCGTTGTTACAGCATCAAACAGCGGAGAACACGTGTTTTACAGAAGAAGAAGAAGAAGAAGAAGAAGAAGAAGTTCCACCTGTCATTCTGAAACTTGAAGTAATAGATGATGATCATACCTATAGTGAGAGTGCAGCAGGTACGTCTACGGGCGCAAACTATGAAGAGACCGTGACTGAATGCTATGAGCAGAGTGAATATCAAATTCAGGCGGATAACACCGACGAGGTAATCTTGGTTCTCAAACCCGGAACCGATGACACATATTTCGATCGGTGTCCGCAGTTCACGCCAGCTGCAGAGATGCAGAATCTTGTTGACAGCGAAGTGCCATATGACTGTGCCTCAACTTCTAGAGGCAATGATCTCCCTACGACGACGGCGCAAGAAATACGCCATCCCGAAGCTGCAACCGGCGACCATGACAATTTACGGCGGAAAATCACTGCGGCTGCTCGTCCGTCTACAAAGATGCGCGTCAGACCGCAGACGTGGGAATCGGAAAGCAGTGGTAGGCGCAATCTAGGGTTGTGCACGAGTGGTATGCTTGCATCGTCATCTTCTGGTTCTGATCGCAGACTCACGGTGCGAAGGCCGTGGAAACCAAAGGTAGCAACGGTGGAGAATCAGAACCGTGCGGTGGCATGCCCCTTCTGTCCGAAGGTTCTCAAATTCAAATACCTGATGAAACACATGCAAATTCACACGGGCGAAAAGCCGTACAAGTGCACACTGTGTTCGTCCGCATTCACACAGTATTCAAGCCTGGCATGTCATCGAAGAATTCACACGGGAGAGAAGCCATATGTGTGTAGGTGTGGGAGAGCGTTTAACGTCTCGAGTAATTTAAGGAGGCATCAACGACTTGCCTGCAAGCGACCTCAAGTTCCTCAAGAGATCGTTTTAATCTAGTATGTTTTCTGATCGATTTTAGTCATTTGCATGCATCCTTAATTTTCAAGCATTGTAATTAATATCTATGGAAAAAACAGAAATAACCAGTTTTCTGTGCCATTGGAATAGAAATGATTTAGGACCTACCTTTGTGTATTTTGTATTAGTATAATATATATTGTATTAGTATTGTGTATGTATTAATAGCATCTAAGCTACTATAAATAAACTACAAATATATGCAGAATAGTTCATTTGTCTGGTCAGTTTTGAGTTAGATGCATGTGTGCAAGATTTGTCAAAGGAAACAGAACATAGTCCGTACGTTTAACGAAAGTATACCTTACACTAGGACAGCATTAGGGTGGCGTATGCAGCAAGCTGACATGCCAAACAAAATTCGCAATAGTTGCATGTCTTTACATTGCACTCTGCCTTTATTTGAAACTTTTATGATTACAAGTCAACAATTTCGTTTGACATGCTTAAATATGATTAACAATGTATATATTTTAATGCTGAAACTATTCCACAATGCAGCATTACAAAATAGACACGAATCTACCTGGTCACTCTCTATGCGACTAGAGGAGAGACGCACAGCACAACAGATGCTTTGCCGTCTAACCAGACGCATCATCGGCATGCATTTACAACTCCAAAACCCCCTTCCAGCTTTTTAAACATATTGATAGAATAGTTCTGGGAAACTAAAGCTTTGTTGCGACGTATTCACACCACAAACGAGTCATTTAATCAATATAACTCTAAAATCGACATACTCGCAAAAACTCAGCTATGTGATGATCGAAAATAGTGGAAAATATATCAAAGGAAACCAGCAAAACGGTGTTTACATTTTTAAATGGCAATCAGTTGGATTCACATATGAACTATTTGAGTTAATATAGTTTAATTTATAAATGAATAATGGTGATTACTAATCGGTCAACAATGTCTAGAAATCTCGGAGAGTGTCAGAGACCGCAGAGCATGTTGCAAGGTAGAACAGTCACAGCATTTCGTTATTAGTTGGCTGGTAAACAATCGGTGCATGCGAGCACACCAGAATGTTTATTGCAAGCAACAGTAATTACAGTGTATGCAACTCTTTGTTCTATTTAAAAGTAAAAATGTATCCACATGGGCCCAGAATTGCAATACACGGAAATAAAAGGAAATCACTTGGTCTTATTTCAAAATAAAACCAGATTAAAATCAATCGGCAATCAATGCAGCAAATTTAGGGTGTTTTTGCATCTTGCTAAATAAAAATGGTCACATATTTTTGCATCTTGGTTGTGATCCTAAGCTCTAACTATGACATACAGTGCAAACTGCTCAAGAATTAGCAGCAGGCAGTGCTGTCATAAAATCATCTATAAATTGATTGTGGACCTCAAGCCAAAGTTGGCAGTTTATACTGAAATGAATAACATTGAGCCTAGATCTAAAGCACTTATGAACACTTTACATTTCAAAAAAAGACGTGCGCAAAAAATCACTCTTAGTACAGTCCAATAGTAGTGACCCAACCAGTAATGCAGACTGTCCAGCACTGGAAACCACACACAAGTAAACAAAAGCCTGATTCACTTTAGTATGGCAATCCCACATGCCATGGCGGCATCACTCTGACACAATGTTAGTCTGTACATCAGGCACCGTGGAAGAGGAAACCTGACAGTCTATTTCTCGATCTCAACTCGCTGGTCGCATAATGATATTCGTTTTTGGGCTGAATGCATTTTGAACATGCACACCAGTTCCCAACTGCAGTGCATATATCAATTGTGATTACCAGCCACACCAGTTGAATTTCTATAACGTTTAAGTCATGTATTAAACGATGTAGAAACTCTACTGAGAAGGCACAGATAGTCGACCTCGATATATCGCTTCTCTCTCCATTGGGACCATAATGGATTGCTTCTGGCATCAATGGTGAGGGGTAGCATATAGTTACGTGATCACTTGGTCTCACGGGCACCTGACCTACCTTCTCACAGACCTATCCGTATGAGACAGGGTATCAACACTAATTTCCTCGAACTGTACGAAACAGTATCAACTACGTGAACAATACTAAATACAAAACTGTTAAATGCTTTAATATACGTCAATTTGCTTTTGCCACCAGGTGGTACCTGAGGGTAACCTAGAGAAATGCCCTTGTAAATCGTTCAGTACGTAACATGAGTACTGAACGGGAAGCAATTTACTGGTTGTGGTAGTGGTACTGGATTGACTTCAGGATCCTACACAGAAAGCACCCAACAGCCACCTGGTGGCAGAAGTGAAGAAACAGCATAGTATTTGAGATTGTAATAGCACCACAAAACATTGCATCTGTATCATAATACATATATATGCAAGGTTAGCAACAGACATTCATTCATTCTCTGAACATAAAATACTACTAATTTCTAAAATAGCACGACTGCAACTGCAGATATATGAACATATGACATGACTACTTTAATATTAATAACTACCATCAAGCGACTTGGGCAATTTTGATTCAGTAAAAAATACGTCTAATAACCTTCAATATACTTACAAAATGCAGCGTAAATTCTGCATTATTTCATCATAATTTTCTGGTATTTAAATCAACATTTTTACATAATGATTTCATACATGATTGCAAATTGTTGGCCTCTAGTAAAAATTCGCCAGTTAAGAGTTTTACTGCGTGTTTCGTTTACATTTCAGCGTTACTGCCTAATCTTATGCACAACAGAGGTCAGCACTGTTCTGCATCTTGAGAATTTATTAATACTAGCACACCAAATGAAACAACCAACCGAACAATACTATAGGCAAGAAATTCGTGCCACCTGGTGGTAGGATATCAACTTACAAAACGATAATGGCAGTGACTTCGGCGTCAATACAATTTTTTACAAAAGTTTGTGTATTATACATGCTATGACAAGCTTGAGGTATAGGTGCAACGAAAGCGGATAAAGCGTCATCTCAGTTGTGGTAGAAAACATACAACTGATACCTGCTTCCTTAACTAGGGCACATACATTCTACCTACTCTGAACAGACAGGCACTCACGGACTTCTCTCTCTCTAAACGGAAGACTTGCAATAGAAGCGCAGCATGTGCTCGCGTGCCCCGACAGCTTCTTTTTCTTCTTCTTCTTTGGTCACAAAATACTGCAATTCTGGCTCAGAATCGTGTCACTTGAGGACAGCTCACATGTGACCACTGCACACATGCGCTGCTCATCTCACTAGTTTCGCAAACAGTTAAATCGTTACTACACGCAGCGCACCGTGACAACATCGCGGCAGCATTGCAGGTGATTTTGTCGCAGTCGCGACAGACGGTAGAGCCACGACACTTCAGGTATGCGATCGGAACGACAGGAGCGGCCAGCAGTGACACCCAGCAGAGGAAGCAGGTTCAGTTACCCAGTAACAAACAAGCATTAAATAGTAATTAACTAACTATCTAACAATTCACTGCCCATTATCCCACAGGCTCGAGTACTTCTGTGCGGAAGCATCCATCCGGTAACGCGTCACGGATGTCTTCAATATTGTCAACGTCACGCCGTAGTTGCTCCAGATCCGCACTGAAACAATCGAAGCCAATGACGACTTATATAGGTGGCAGCACTTCCTCGCACACAGCATCCTACTACTAGTGTTACAATTATAGAAAGACCATGCAAATTGGCAACTATAAAAACCACCTATACCATATATATATATATATATATATTTATTTATTTATATATATTTTATATATAAATTATATTTATATATATATATATATATAATTGATAGTATTATATAGATATAATAGCATAACAGATATATGCTACATATATCGCAGGTTGAATCACATCTTGTAATACATCGAAACCATCACCGTATAGCAGATGAAGGTGACACGTGCCTTTCTCCGGGCATCATGCCATTGTTGGCTGTGCGCAGTGTCTACGTAGACACACACACACACACACACACACACACACACACACACACACACACACACACAGACGTACCTGTAGTCTTTCACCCACTGACTCTGCTGCTCGTTTGCAACACGCAGCTCCTGCACTCTCTCCTCCAGGTTGGCATCCTTCAGTCGCTTCTCTGCCTCCTCCAGGTCTCTTTCCAACTCATTCAGCCTGACCTCATCAACACTATCCAGATTGTCTGCAAGATCATATCAAGAGTAGATAATATAACATTATTTTAACATTATTTATATTTATATTAAATTTATATATAAAAATATATTTAAATTATATAATTAATATTAAATTTATTAACATATAGTTATATTATCTACTCTTGATCATATCGATAACAATCGGTTAATATCACGCAAATACTGTTAAGTGAGAGTTACATAAAGTCAAATCTATAAATTCCAAAAGTGCTCGTTATAGACACGTTTCTGTTCTATAGAAGTTTTGTCACTGCAGAATAAGCAAAATCGGAAAGTCCCCGCCGCCATATTGAGATCAGATAAGAAGGGGTATAAACAGCTCTTTTATAACATGGGTAGGATAGGACTATTCTAGGTTTTTGATCTATAATTCTCTTCACTAACATCGTACTTCAATTCACAGGTGCGTTTCTGTTTACATAAACATTTACAAATATGATTGTGGTCGTTTGGGATATTTTGCAATGTTTGTGTATGTACTTTCCTAAGCGCACCTCGGCCATTTTATACCCCCTTTTTCTGTAACCTACATAGCACAGCTGGACTTTCCGATCTCACTTATTGCTACGCAAGAGAAATGCAGAGTGTCCTTTATAGATAAGTGGACTGTCTATTATGGACCATTAAATAAAAAAACCATTAAAAGTTGGTAAAACCGTAGCAATAACACCTAAACTCAAACTTAAAAGTCAGCAGTAATTTTCATTTATATTTATTATGAAAGTTATTATGTTTTACTTATATAACGTTATTATATATCCCTTATTTAACACCAGCCACACTCAACATCTTGCCTAAGGGAGCTCCGCAATACTAGGTTGGATTTAGAAGTGTTACAAAACTTACTCAGGGTGTCCAGAATTTGTTTAACTGTGTCCAAGGCCGTCTGTACCTTAATAGAAGAGGCAGTTGCCTTCTTTTTGGCTTGGTCTGCCTTTGAAAGAGCCTGCAATAGCAATGAAATCCAGTTTAGCTCCAACGTACTTCCAACTATGTAACGTCCAATAACCTTCATCGTGTGAGATACAAAAACTATATACAAAGAGTCGCTAGGTTACAAACAACAAACAATGAATAATTCGACTCACAAATGACACTAAACAATAGACTTGAGAATCAAATTTTCAAACTATGTTGCTTTCTCATGGTTTAGTAAGTTTGATCATGACATGGGTTGATATGAATAACGCAGGCACCTCTCTGTGCATCAATGAATTGATGTCTCATACGATGCCAAAATATAAATCGTTAGCTCACCTGCTTTGCCAGAAGCTCATTGGTACCAGTCTGGTTTTCCAACTGAGTGAGAAGGTCGTCCAAGGTCGACACTTCATCGGCCAGGGTCGTGGATTCGTCCTTGAGCTCTCCCGCACGCTGCTTTGTCGTCCCCGCCTCCTCACGGATATTCCCGGCATCCTGTGCATAGTAGAGTGCCCTTACTTTCTGCACTCAAAACAACATACTTACACTACTCCCAGAGCACGCACGCACGCACGCACGCACGCACACACACAACATTGTGTAAGCGACATTGTTTTGGGAAGAGCACAACAATGATCAACCATATAAAGACACAATACCTCTAACTAACAAACCGTAAATTTTCATAATTACACGCACATATAATCATGTTCCACTCTCTCTCTCTCTCTCTCTCTCTCTCTCCTCCACCTTCTCTCTTTTTCCCTTCCCCTTCTACCTCTCTCCCCTCCCCCTCCCGCTCTTTCTCTCTCTGGCTTCTGCTTGCCGATGCGCACGCCCTCTACCGGCGTCGCTCATCGCACTCACGTCGGAGGCGCCCTCTGCGATGGTCTGCGCTTGGCGGGCGATGTCTCGCGCCTCGGTCGCGTCGTGTTCGGCGTCGGCGAGCAGGTTCTGCGCCGCCTGCGTCTTGTTCTCGGCATCGCCTATCAGCTGCTCGATGTCCGGCACCTGCGTCATCGCCTCCTTCGCCTTGCCCTCGCTCTCACGCACCTGCTTGTCGAAGTCTGCGGCGGAGAGAGATCGAAAACATTTTACCAATAATCACGTACAACAATATAGTAACGATACTAGTATTATTCAAAGTCTGCGGGGGGGGGGGATCGAAAACATTTGACCAATCTTCTTCTTCTCGGGTCACTACACTACACTCGGCCTAGCCACTGCAACACACAGGACTTGGCACGGTGGTTGAAAGCCTCAAGGTCTCCAGGGCTACAGGGCTCTGGTAATAGGGACCGATAATCACGTACAATATAGTAATGATACTATAGTATTATTGCTTGTCGAAGTCTGCGGCGGAGAGATCGAAAACATTTTACCAATAATCACGTACAATATCAGTGCTCGAAATAAGCGTTGTCCGGTTGTCCGAGACAACAAAATTTGCGCGCGGACAACCTAACAGTCTGAGACATTGTCCGGTGGACAACCAAGAAAAAAGTGACGAAAAACGTACTTTATTTATGTTTTTCTCTGGGTTCTCCAGAGCCACTTATAGGCCTGGCGGCCGCCATTAATCTATGGTGTGGGAAAGCGGATGCATACCAGCTGCTATTTCCAACACTGGTATATGTCAGGTTTTCTGATTTATGAGAGGTGAACCTCGATTTGGAACCAGCAAACCAGCAAGTTCACCCCTACATTTTGGTATTTTTATTCCATTATTATTTTGAATTTTCCGATGGCTTTGCCGCATGCAAAACAAACAACAGTGGGATTCATGTTGATCCGAAAGTTTAAAAAAGAGAATTGTTCAGAATGAAGGCTGTACATGTACTCAAAAGTGCCGCAAATACCATCTCCTGCGATCTACATTTTCAAAATTTTCTGGGGAGGACCCCATACCCCCCGCTTGTTTTTCACCCTCCCTGGAATCCTAGATCCACCACTGAACAATTACATATCTTGGGAGCAGAGAACAATGAACAAAAATGTCGCCTTTTCGCATGGCACCCAAAACAAAGATTGCAGAGAAGGTAGAGGAGCCGTAGGGTGTGAGAGGGAGGCGGAGGAGCCATTAAAATATTAAGTCATCCACTATTTGCGCAGTTCGCTGTTTTGTGGCCCCCTTGTTAAAAATTCTGGTACACACAGTGTTTTGGGGGTGTTTTCTGACATATTATTATGTGATTGAAAATAGGAGATTTGGGGATATTTTTTTGGGACAACCAGAAATTGTTGCGGACGGACAACCACATTTTTTTTCTTATTTCGAGCACTGAATATAGTAACGATACTGGTATTATTGCTTGTCGAAGTCTGCGGCGGAGAGATCGAAAACATTTTTACGCAATAATCACGCTACAATATAGTAATGATATATAGTATTATTGCTTGTCGAAGTTTGCGGCAGAGAGATCAAAAACATTACAAGGTGGGGGGGGGGGGTTACACAATAACCACGTATAGTATAGTAACCAAACTAGTATTATTGCTTGTTACAGTCTACAGTAGGGATAGTAAACGTGATGATGGTGGGTTATATCATATCAGCCACCTGTACGATTGATTGAGTAAACTAATAACTGCCAAAAGTTGGCACTTGGCTACTACACACAATACCTCAACATATATCGCACAACTAATTTAGCCTGTTGAAGTCAGAGGTGGCTAAACCAGCCAGCATGTAAACGAGCATCAAACTGCCTGTTCACTGTTAAGTCCCACGGGTAAGACATCTTCCCCTTTGCTCTGCTCTTACGCGGCTCACACAGCACGCAGTACAACGCGATCACACCACACGAACACACGTCACGCACGCTCGCGCCGCGCCGCGCAGTAACGACGCGCGAGACTGCGAGACCGAAAAACGCGCTGGTGCCAGGCACCCTGCAGTGTCTTGAGCGTCTCGCGTGCCTCCTGTCAGAGTCTCGTCGCCCTGGCGACGGCCTCCCGCGCTTGGCCTTGGCACGCGTCGACGTCGGCAAGCATCTCGTCTGCGATGTTCTGTTGTCGCTCGCCCTCGGTAGCGAGAGCCGTCGCCTCCTCCTCCTGACGCTGATGTCTTCATCACTGCTCGTTATCTGTCATCAGCGACATCGCCTCGTCCGAGATCCGCTCCGCCTGCCGAGACGCCAAACGATCGTTAGCGCGGTGGCGGCGGCGCACGTTCGCTGTTTTACGTTGTGCGTAGCACGTGGAAGACGCAGGTGGCGATTAATTGGGTGGCTGTTTGGTTGGTTAGTTATAGTCTGTTCAAGAGTTGAGCCAAAAACGACAATGCGCATCACGTGTAAGAACCTAACCTAACCTTAATTTAAAACATGGTTCATACAGGACTGAAAATTGTTCAAGGACTTTTCAAGGACTTTTTACTGGAAATTCAAGGAAATTTTATTGGCAATTTTATCAGAATTCATACACAGAACAAAAACTTACTGAACCGGTAATCCTAACCCAAACCGGAAGCCATCGTTTATAATCTGTGGATTGCTCACCTCCTCGCTGATCTGTGTCGCCTGCGTGTTGTACGCGTGCCGAGTCTACGGTGGCAGCTGCAGAGAGTTGGCGTCGGTGAGTGTCTCGAGCACCTCATGCTAGACCTCCGTCGCCTGCTCCTCGCGTCCTCGCTAGCTGCTTCGTACGGTCAAACAGATTCCGCATCGTAATACCTGACGAACCGAAGCGAGCGTGAAATACTGGACAGCAGCATGTGGTAGCATAGTACCTTATGTAACGACGTGAGTGTGGAATACTGTACAGCAACCTGTGGTAGCATAGTACCTTATGTAAGCACGTGGGTGTGGAATACTGTACAGCAACCTGTGGTAGCATAGTACCTATGTAAGCAAGTGAGTGTGGAATACTGTACAGCAACCTGTGGTAGCATAGTACCTTATGTAAGTACGTGAGTGTGGAATACTGTACAACAACCTGTGGTAGCATAGTACCTTTATGTAAGTACGTGAGTGTGGAATACTGTACAGCAACCTGTGGTAGCATAGTACCTTATGTAAGTACGTGAGTGTGGAATACTGTACAGCAACCTGTGGTAGCATAGTACCTTATGTGAGCACGTGAGTGTGGAATACTGTACAGCAACCTGTGGTAGCATAGTACCTTATGTAAGTACGTGAGTGTGGAATACTGTACAGCAACCTGTGGTAGCATAGTACCTTATGTAAGTAGGTGAGTGTGGAATACTGTACAGCAACTGTGGTAGCATAGTACCTTATGTGAGCACGTGAGTGTGGAATACGGTACAGCAACCTAGCTGTGGTAGCATAGTACCTTATGTGAGCATGTGAGTGTGAAATACTGTACAACAATCTATGGTATTTTAGTACCTGATGTAAGCACGCGCATTAATTGCATAATCTCATTCAAAAATGCGTGCAGAAATGCAGCAGAGGAAATTTTGACTCGACCCAATATAACGCTTACTCTGGTTCAACCGTGAAAGCAGAAGATACATTTTAGCAATTCTGGTTTAGTTTAGTTGAAAGCACGCTCAGACAGACTGGTAATCTCAATAGATAATAACGCGGGGATGAGCACAGTCTATGTCTTCACACGTACTGGTTTCTCAGCTTCTCGATCTCGTCGGTGGTCTTGCCCTGACCCTGGATGGCGGCGTTGGCGACCGCGTAAGCTTCACGCGACGTGTTCAACGCATCGGCCGCCAGCTTCTCAATCTCCTTCGCCTCCTGTTCCTGCCTGCAAACACATGCAGCAGTCGCAGCATTACTTAAAGTGATTACGTCACCGTAAATAGTAAAAATAAAAATTCCACTTTTTCACAAAATATAAGTAATTCTGTTCACGTTTTAGGGTTAAATTGCTGCATTATACTTCCTATTTTAGTATATTGTTCGATGTGAACATACACTCGTGACTCATACATATCCATAGCAAGCAATTAATGTCAGGAACATAATATCAAATCGTCCAGGTTTTTTGGATTTTTAACTAGTTGAGAAACGATCTTATCAGGTAAGAATTTGACGATACGTTTAGTCCTGTTAGTTCTTACTTTTAATGTAAACAAATTGCAACAAACATTTTACAAATTTTACCATAGAAAATTCGTGACGTAGTCAATTTAACACGTTTACGGACGTGTTGTGAGAAAAGGACGCCCGGACAGGTTCCACTACACCTGATCCACTATCCGATGCACTCCTCCACACACACATGTAGTCTGTAGACCAACATTTGATGCCATGAAGTTACATAAATTTTTGATGAACATGTATTTAATAGATTTACAACACATCTGCTAAAACATGATAAGAAATGCTGGCGTTATAATAACACAAACGTGCACCAATGCGGCATCATCAATGCTAATGCTATGCAGGGGACCGGTGTCAGAAACATCACATCTCTCCACAGTTATGAATAGTACTGTTACAACTTAAATCACATGAAAAAAGCTACAAATAAGACTAATATTACAACTGTACAATGTTTCTGACACTGGTCCTGACATGATTCACAGAGTATTAGGACCTCCATTCTCAGAGCCTCCCACTAGATTATTGAATGAAAATTTACTAAATAATGACTGCATAATGACTGCATAATGACAGAAAGTAGCAATATTGTCAAAAACCTAAGCAATGGATACTCTAGCTGAATGTAAAACAACAATTGATGCACATGCCAGTGCTGTTCATAACAATTAAATAACAATAAATTAATAATATAATAATATAATTTCATAACAATAAATGGGTTCCCTCTACGAACTATCTACAACATTTATCTCAATTCTTTCTGCACAAATAATAACAAGATATGAGACTGAGGATAAAATTGTAAAAGTAATAATATTGTTGCTACAGCTATTCTAATATGCTTTCATCTACGCCAACTATCACCAAAATATCAACCTGAATCGATGGCTATATAACATGCCACAGAAAAGCAGAATGTCTTTCTCAGACTTATTTGACAATATTTTACACCAATTCTTCTCGCTCACATGCAGAACATCTGCTGACTGCTGCCATATCATGCAAGGAAGAAAAATACGGCGGCATGTGTGCCAATGCTTCCATATACCTTCTCGCCTTCTTGCGCGTTTTTCTCGAGACCGTCTTCAGACGGAGGAAAATCTTGAGATAGCTTTTCACCTTCTTACCTTGTCTCCTTTTGCACGCATTAAGTTAGCACACACGATACGAGGTTAACACGTAGTCAACGAACGATCCGAAGACGCTTAGCAGACGCATAATCCACAGAGTTAATCACGTGGCAGTTAGAACAAAATAACATGTTAGCATATATAATGCCTAAAATGTCAATGCCAATTTTCACAGATGTTTTCAAACACGTATAACAATATATAGAAGTATTAAGCTTGCAGACGGACACCTAATATAAATGGATAGCAGTCTAAAATTATCATTCTGATTGTTTTGTTATCTCTATGAACTATAAACTATAATGTAGGGAGGAAGATCACAATTTCTTTCCAATTCCAGTAATACTACGTTTATTTAATAATTTTTCTCTCACCACCTTCTTAATTAATATATTATGATATCCTTGTGTCCGTCTGTTAAAACCATAATTACACAACCACACGGTCATCTGTAAATGACCACACATGACATCCTGCACCTGTAAGCCACCGATGCCTAGTATCTTAACAGTATATAAGATATCATAATAAAGTTTATCTCAGTTAGATCCAAATTATTAAGTTAAAAATAACTTACACTGACGAAATTTTTCGTCCATCTCTCCGATAGACTTCTTCAGGTCTGAGCTGAGGAAGTCTATCGGAGAGATGGACGAAAAATTTCGTCAGTGTAAGTTATTTTTAACTTAATTTGGATTTAACTGAGATAAACTTTATTAGCATGTGATCTATAGAGATCCGATGAAATTATTCAATCATATATAAGATATCGCTTACCTCTCAGCCTCCTCTCTCGCCTCCCGCGCTATCTCAGACATCCTAGAAGATTGCTGGCCGAACTTGTCGGATGCAGCCTGAGCCTCCTCCAAAGCTTTCTTGCCTTCCTCGACGATGTATTTCTGCGCGCGCTTCATCGCCTCCTCTGAGCGATCGATCGCGTCTTCAGCGACCTTGATGTCCTTTCCGCCAACCTGTCCCACAGATGTGACAAGTAAAGTTAGAGAAACACTTATTTGTGGATCAGCTGGCCTGTGCATGGCACGCACTTGATAGGCTTCTCACAGTATTTACATAGACATAGATATAGACAGACACGGACACGGGACACAAACACAAACACAAACATAGTCATAGACAGACACAGACACATAAATAGATACAGACAGGGAAATATTCACAGATAGACATAGTCACAGATATACACATACATATAGAAATACAAATAGACAGACAGACATAGACACAGACACAGACACAGACACAGACACAGACACAGACACAGGCATAGACATACACATAGACATACATATACAAATAGACACAGACATGGACACAGACCCAGACACAAAGTCAGAGATTTTCAGAGGAGTGTGCTTGGCATCAAACGTGTGGGTCCTGGTAACTACATTACGTTTGTAACTATTAAAATGAACGATGAAGTGACATTTGCAAGTCTGGATGTTCGTAATTTTGGCGACTACCTGTACAAGAGTAGCTACAAGATTATGACTGCACGTGAAGGCTGGAGCTCTGTGGCATCGTATGTATTATTGCTTGTCGAAGTCTGCGGCGGAGAGATCGAAAACATTTTACCAATAATCACGTACAATATAGTAATGATACTATAGTATTATTGCTTGTCGAAGTTTGCGGCAGAGAGATCAAAAACATTACAAGGTGGGGGGGGGGGTTCACCAATAACCACGTATAGTATAGTAACCAAACTAGTATTATTGCTTGTTACAGTCTACAGTAGGGATAGTAAACGTGATGATGGTGGGTTATATTATATCAGCCACCTGTACGATTGATTGAGTAAACTAAAACTGCCAAAAAGTTGGCACTTGGCTACTACACACAATACCCTCAACATATATCGCACAACTAATTTAGCCTGTTGAAGTCAGAGGTGGCTAACCAGCCAGCATGTAAACGAGCATCAAACTGCTGTTCACTTGTTAAGTCCCACGGGTAAGACATCTTTCCCCTTTGTTCTTCTCTTAGGTGTTTACTTACGACATGTATGCCACAGTACCGAGCAGAACAAATCCGTCAGCAAAATCACACGCGGCTCACACAGCACACAGTACGACACGATCACACCACGCACGCTCGCGCAGCGCCGCGCAGTAACAACGCGCGAGACTGCGAGACCGAAAAACGCGCGTGCCACGCACCCTGCAGTGTCTTGAGCGTCTCGCGTGCCTCCGTCAGAGTCTCGTCGCCCTTGGCAACGGCCTCCTCGGCCTTGGCCTTGGCGCGGTCGACGTCGGCAAGCATCTCGTCTGCGATGTTCTGTTGTCGCTCGCCCTCGCGCAGCAACCGCCTCGCCTCCTCCTCCTGACCGCTGATGTCTTCGATCAGCTGCTCGTTATCCGTCATCAGCGACATCGCCTCGTCCGAGATCCGCTCCGCCTGCCGAGACGCCGAAAACGATCGTTAGCGCGGCGGCGGCGGCGCACGTTCGCTTGTTTTACGTTGTGCGTAGCACGTGGAAGACGCAGGTGGCGATTAATTGGGTGGCTTGTTTGGTTGGTTAGTTATAGTCTGTTCAAGAGTTGAGCCAAAAACGACAATGCGCATCACGTGTAAGAACCCTAACCCTAACCTTAATTTAAAACATGGTTCATACAGGACTGAAAATTTTTTCAAGGACTTTTCAAGGACTTTTATTGGAAATTCAAGGAAATTTTATTGGCAATTTTATCAGAATTCATACACAGAACAAAAACTTACTGAACCGTAATCCTAACCCAAACCCGGAAGCCATCGTTTATAATCTGTGGGATTGCTCACCTCCTCGCTGATCTGTGTCGCCTGCGTGTTGTACGCGTCCGAGTCTACGGTGGGCAGCTGCAGAGAGTTGGCGTCGGTGAGTGTCTCGAGCACCTCGTCGTAGACCTCCGTCGCCTGCTCCCTCGCGTCCTCCGCTAGCTGCTTCGTACGGTCAAACAGATCTTCCGCATCGTAATACCTGACGAACCGAAGCGAGCGTGAAATACTGGACAGCAGTGCTACAGCATCCATCGTTTACCTGTCGATATTCCAGTATCCAACAGCACATTCCCCACACTTGCGTCCACTGACGTTCTCCTTGCAAGGACACTGACCATTGTCCATGTCGCATTGGACCTCACCATCACCATTAGCATCAGTTCCCGGTGGGTAGCAGTTACATGCTAACGTCAAAATGAGAAACAGAATCTTTCAACCAAAATCAGAATCTTCGCTGCAACTATGAGAGATGCAGCATAATTCTATATGATTAACAACTCTTGTATCCCTATTTGCCTAAGTGCCTCCATTTTAAAATGTAAATTATTGCCTGCAATATACAGCATTAGAAATTCTTGTTCCAATCTTTGTTTTATCTTTGCAAACAATATTTAAACTACACATAAACGTTACAGCATATATCATATAGCACCCAGTTTTAAACAAACCACTGTCAAACAGCTTAAAATAACTACAACTAGTAGCTTCTTGCAGTTACACCTAATACCCTGCTTACAGAACATGTGCAAGCCGGTGTCGCGCGGAATTCCTGACGTGTGCGAAATACATGATATAGGATGCGTATGAGTATGCGCATGCGTGCCGACCCGACCAATCACAGCTCGTCTTTGTGTTACGGTAGGTTGTGTACACTTGGACGAACAATTGAAGGTTTGTATAAAATTTGTAATGTAATGTTGTTGTTGTTGTTGTGTTGTTTTTGTTTGTATTTGTAATTTGTATTTGTATTTGTAAATTTGTATTTGTAGGTTTGCATGCGCATACGCATCCTATATATCCTGTATTTCGCAAGTCAAGAATTTCGCGCGACACCGGAGTGACAAATCTTTACAACTCAGCAAAAAGGTCTAGATTCCTCACAGTGGGACAGAAACGTCTACGTAGTGACGAGACAAGCACGAGACATGGTGCACATACCGTGACATCCGGGTTTGTCGTTGGTGAGAGCACTGCCATAGAATCCTGGCAAGCAGCGCTCGCACATTCTGCCCGTCGTGTCGTAGATGCACTTTAGACACTCTCCCGTTGTACTGCGCCGAACAAAAACAACCATAGCAGCAGGGGTAGAAATTAACATTTGAACAACGGACTCCCTGCCCTCAAAAAGAGGGAGTCCGCAGCAAAATGAGGGAGTCCGCAGTCTGAGGTTCAAAATTAAAGATATTAACAATAACGCATTTGCTTATTTTGAAGATTCATGCGGTTGCACGTCTGCGAAATTTTCTTGGGACATTTGCTGAAAAAATACAGTAATTCCACTATGCCGTTCTCTAGAACTAACTAGTTAGTATGGCAGAATTTTTAGGGAGTCACACGGACTCCTGCATATGTCAAATCAGGGAGTCCGACAGTAAATCAGGAAGTATTATTTGACTCCGGATTCGCGTTAATTCCCTGCATAGCACATAAATCATACCACCGCTAAACAATGAATCTGAATCTGCTACCTTCTGTACAATTGACAACTAAGCCACTGCTGTTGAGTTTTTGATATATAAACTTTGGCCCAATTTTCTTTAGAGCACACGAGCTGTAAATAATGTACACAGCTAGTCCAGTGAAGTTATAGGTGCAAACACAGCTGGCAAGGGTACACTTTATAGGAACGGCCCGCTTATAGTATGTAACAGGACAAGGCTCTACACTTTCACTGTCTCTATAGTACAATATTACTCTGTGGTGACACTAGTCCCTTCTAATGATGCCTAACTGAACACTGGGCAATAAATACAATTACAATAACAGTAAGGTTGATGTGTTTCATGGGTCATTGTGACTACCAATATTCCAAGTAGAAGACTCACCCGTTGCAGTTACCGATCGCATTTGGGTCGATGTTGTCGTTGCAGGTGCACGACATACAGTCTGAGGGTAGACCGTACTTGCCCTCAGGGTCACCGTAGTGTCCATCCGTGCACACGTCACACAGCAGCCCTCCGTAACCCGCTGGGCAGTTCAAACACGCCACCTGGTTGTCCTAGGAAGTATGCAGCTCGGGTATTACGATGCGAGATGGTAACTTGTCAATTCATCGGGATGTCATCGAAGCCCATATGTTCTTACATTCTATGAAATAATATATCTATAATATATCTATGCTATTAACGTTCGCATTTCATACTGACTCGTTAAGGTCCATCCCATTAATCCACTAAGACAGAGCTTCGACAGTACCACTTACCTGCACCTGAATACAAGGTCCTTGATTCGGGCATGGACAGACCTGACAGTCGTTTGGTGTTCCCATTGATGGGTTACCATAGTAACCAGATACGCATCGTTCACAGTTGTTTCCTTCTGTGTAGTGTTGGCAGATGCAACGACCTAAAGGTATCATGGATAAAAAATTTATGAATCAACTAAGCAAAGATAGCATATAACGGACACATATAGTTTCAAGTAAACATCATAACAGACAGACAGATGAGCATATGACATCTGTTAAAATATGCTGTTGAGAACTGCTTAAGAGCACTTGCTGACAACACTTGCTTAAACAATTTACGCAGTATCATTTCGTAACTTCAGTAAGGAGATAGGCGGCAGCTCGTCTACACGCCAGCAAATCACTGACCTAAAGTCCTACGTATCAAAAATAAACCTAAAAATACAACCAATGCGACGATTACACACGTACACATGCACCCGTGAATGCAACAGAAATCGCAACAGTATGAATGAAGTACTCCTCCGCCTCGGATCGTTCGATTTGATCTTCCAACATCGCTCACTTCACGTACCTGTCTGTACGTCGCAAGTCTCCGAGTGGTTGTTGCACTGGCAGGGCACGCATCTGTCGAGCGGACCTCCGTTGGGCGGGTCGCGGCGGAAGCCGGGCGCACAGTCCTCGCAGTTCTGCCCGAGGTAGCTGTCGGTACACGTGCACTGCTCCACCCAGCGCGCGGGGTCTCCGCTCGAACCACGCCGCGCCGAACCCAGCTTAATGGCGTCCAGAAATCCGACACCTAGCGCGAGTGGCACGAGATATCGATAGAGATAACGATATGGGAATATAGCATGCCAACTCATACATGACAGTGCCGGGATCTGCAAACGCATGTCATGAATTGAGATTCCGATAAATATCGATGAATATCGATGAATTTCGATGAATATCGATAGAGATAACGATATAGGAATATAGCATGCCAATTGGTATATTACGTGTGGATGCCCGCATCTGCAAACGCATGTCGTGAATTGAGATACGAGCTTGGGTTGATTAACAGGCAGCTCTCTCTACCCAATCAGTGTTGCAATACGATGATCTAAAGACAAAGCTTAGTAACGTAGTGAGGTAATGTCAACATTTGGGCACGCATACGTGCATGTACTACAAACTCACTGAGCTTAGTTAACATAGCAATAACGTACAAGAAGGGCCTGGTTATCTCGCTCAGCTGCATAGAGGTAGTTCATCTATGAACAAACAATCCCACTTCTGTCCACCCCGCTTCGGACTTTCTTACCGCCGGGAGTGTAGGTACCACGTATTTTCAACTCTGTCAGGTTGGAGAGCAGGTGCATGAAGCTGATTGGGTTCATGTAGGGAGACCACTGGTAGTCTGGATGTTCACTCAGCTTGAACTTGAACTTCTGGCCCACGGTACGCGGCATCTACGCGAAAAAAACACGATCGTATCACCGAGGCAATTATGCATAATACGTACTCATTTTTTAAAAATTATTACAATAACAACATTATTATAAATTGCGTTTGTTACATAAAGTACATACAAACTGTGCAATGTATTTTATTGCTCAGGTATGCTGTGTTAGTATTAGAAAAATTCATGTGCTGCAGCCAAAGCAGTAAATAAGGGTCACTGAATAGCAACTCTAAAAGTGTGCGTTATAGACAAGTGCTGTTATATAGAAGTGTCGTCAACACATATTTAGCTCAATTATGTTGCAGAAACAATGCTGCTGCTGCTTCTGCTGCTACTGCTGCTCCTGCTGCTCCTGCTGCTACTGCTGCTACTTCTGCTACTTCTGTTGCTGCTACTGCTACTACTGCTGCTGCTACTGCTGCTACTGCTGCTGCTTCTGTTGCTGCTACTGCTGCTGCTTCTGCTGCTGCTCCTGCTACTACTACTGCTGCTGCTGCTGCTACTGCTTCTGCTGCTACTGCTGCTACTGCTGCTGCTACTGCTGCTGCTGCTGCTACTACTGCTGCTACTACTACTGCTGCTACTGCTACTACTGCTACTGCTGCTACTGCTGCTGCTGCTGCTACTACTGCTGCTGCTGTTGCTACTGCTGCTACTGCTGCTACTGCTGCTACTGCTGCGAAAGCACAGTGACGACGGAAATCGCGCGAGTGAAGCGGACATCGTAGCGAACTAACCTGCTGTCTCTGAGCGAACACAGGTACGGACACCTTCTGGCCATCGCCTCCCACCAGCACCACATCGTAGCGTGTGGGACTGCCTCCCTCCTCCCCGATGTGCAGCGAAAACTCAAGTATCTGGTTGTAGCTGGCGCGTCTGTCCCCGAGAAAGCGGCCTGTGCGAAAAGCGGAGATACGTAAGTCCGTCGCGACGCCGGCACGAGCAACAAGAGGCGATTCCGCACTTGTCGCCAGGGAATTAGCCAGGAATGAGTATTGTGGCAGTGCAGAAAAAATATTTGGGAGTGCAATTTCACAAATGTACACGGCTTTAGATCAATATTTTAGGCCGTGCTACACATTTTTGGCCGTGCAATTTCAAAACTGACCGTGCAAATCACGGCTGCACGGCTCGCTGGCTAATACGTTGCTTGTCGCGCGGTGTCATGGCTACAGCCGGTGCGGAGAAGCCGTCACTCTACTTACTCATGTTGGCCATCTCCTTCTCCTACCTTTTGACAGCCATTAAATGTAAGCTACTTATTATAAGTAATAATATGTAATATACTTATATGTAAGTAACATATTATAATAATATACAATCTCTTGTTGTAACGTAGGCTTAAAGTCTGGTATATATGTAGGGACAATGTGTGTATGTAGGGACAATGTGTGTATGTAGGGAAGTCTTCTTCCCCTTCTCGAGTCACTCAAAGTCTAACAACTATTCTATTCAGGTTACTTTTCGGTGGCACGAAAGCATCTCACCAGAGACGACACGTTCTGCGGTGAAACTATTTCAGTCTAGATGTAGGAAAGTATCTTGTAATTCGGCACTCACTCGGGGCAGTGAAGTATACCATCTCATTCTTCTCTGCATTAACGCCAATGTTCTGTGTGATGGCATTCCACTGTATGTCAACCCTGTTGCCCTCCTGATCGACCGCCTTCCAGTTCTGTGCACCTGCAGCAAAGAGAAACATTGTATGAGTATCCTGTAAGCTTTCATACTAGACACGATTAAACTGCATTCAAAAGTGCAGGTAAAATGCGAAAAAAGATGCAGGGAAAAAGAGCAGAGTGAGTAAAGCTTATACAGCTTAACTACATGATAACATACGCACGCACGCGCGCGCGCACACCCACACGCACGCACGCACGCACGCACGCACGCACGCACGCACAGAGAAGCACACACTAAAATGACTGTTAATGGTATAAAACCTTCACGTAAACATTTCGCCACTGCTGGCCACCATGCACATGCAATGCCGGCAGTGCAAGCTCACTCTCCGCTACTCACCGTTGTTGAAGTCAGCACCAATGTTCCTGGCCACGTAGTCGTCGGAACTCTGACAAGTCGACGAATGCCCGTAGCAGAAGCAGGGGATGCAGCCAAACTTGTTGTCGGATTCCAGATTGAAGTAACCGGGCTTGCACTGGTCGCACGTGCGTCCCTCGACGTGCTCCTTGCACGAACACTGCCCGTTGCGCGAGTCACAGGTCGGGCTGTTGTCAAGGCTACCAGCCTCAGTGCAGTCACATGACCTGTGGTGTGACGTCACTAGTAAGTCTGATGGTACGATGAGAAAGTTTAAGCCGCATTTTTACGGCAAGCGATTGCCATGTAGCCCTCTCTATTCACAGATTATTATAACACTAATGCTGCTGCTGCTGCTGCTGCTGATGGCGGTGGGGTGGTGGTGTTGATGACAGTAGCCATGGTGTGAGTACTGATGATGATGATAATGAAAACTGTGATGACTGAGGTGAAAAACTGGGACACGGCTAGAATAAGGCAGAGACGATTCAGAGAAGATATCTCCAGACTCCAACCTGCGCTTCAAACCATGGTGGCTAGCAAAAGAAGCCCATCAATGATATGCATACACACCTGCAACCACCCTCTCCAAACTCATAGAAGCCAGGCTGACAGCGATCACATTTGTCGCCTGTCACTCCCGGCTTGCACTGACAGCGTCCGCCATCATCACACTGCAGTGTCCTCGAACCTACACATAGAGGAGGGGTAGAAATTAACTTTTGCGGGAGTCAGCGGCAAAATGAGGTAGTCCGCAGTCTGAAGTTCAAAACTAAAGATATTACAATAACGCATGTGCTTATTTTGAAGATTCATGCGGTTGCACGTCTGCCAAATTTTATTTTTTAGTATGGCAGAATTTTCAGGGAGTCACACAGACTCCTGCATATGTCAAATCAGGGAGTCCGGCAGTAAATCAGGGAGTATTTGACTCCGGATTCACGTTGATTTCGCACCCTGCATAGCACATAAATCACACCTCTGCTAAACAATGATTCTGAATCTGCTACCTTCTGTACACTTGAAAACTAAGCCACTGCTGTTCAGTTTTTGATATATAAACTTTGGCCCAATTTGCTTTAGAGCACACGAGCTGTAAATAATGTATTTGACTCCGGACTCGCGTTAATTTCGCATCCTGTAGAGGATGGTTAACATTAGCGACGTGATGTGTAAACTATAGACGATCGTTATTGATCTATCATTATTGTGAGCTCATCTATATGTCAGTAATACTTGACTGAAATCATATAAATTTCTGTTGAAAAAATACTTGTCCATGTTGAAGAAATGAAATAATAATTAATAATTTAAAATTTCCCATAGAATTCCAGTTCATTGATAACATATTCACTTTTTTTTTAAATAATGCAACTATTCATCCATTGCCACATTGAATCTCTTCCGATATTGTTACTGTCAAGGGTTCAGCTAGTACACCACCCAGTTCCACACTAACATATTGATATAGATATTGATATGATTAGATATTGATATAAACTTTGCTAATCAACCTGGCCAGTGTATTTGACCAACATTTATAGAAAATAAACATTACCATAGAACTTTTTTTTTTTAATTCCTTGGCAACAAAGTGCCACAAAGTCTACACTTCGGGGGTACGCACGAAAAACATGCATAAGTTGGCCTAGCTCGATCGACCCCGCGAGAATATCTGATACGGGTGTTGTTATCTTTCTCAGGTAGGGCAGGTCGATTCCAGCAACTCATCACTTACCCGTTGGGTTGCACTGGCAGTCAGAGCATCTGTCATCGACGGGACGTCGGTAGAAGTTCTCCCTGCACAGCTCACAGTGCGGGCCGGACGTGTTCTCCCGACAGTCGGTGCAGTGACCTCCGTGACCCGTCCTCGCGTGAAGGTCGGGGTCAAAGTAGCAGGTCACCGAGAGTCCGTTACAGTCGCACGCTGCAAGCAGACGTAAATCGATTACTCGCCGCGAAATCGTCAAATCAGAATTCTCGCGCGACATCTATATACCTTATTACGTCGCGACACGCAACACACACCGACGGCATACGTTTGCCTGCGTGCGATGTATTTCCCGTTACTGTATCGTTCCCCATTTTTTCGCAGGCATCATCATTCCCACGTTGCTCTTTGCATATAGCTCCACTCACTGAGTGCAACTACCTGCAATATGATTTGGGTACATTGTTCCTCGGACTAGAACCAGAAGAGCTGCAGCTGTGAAGAGAATGCAAGTGAAACGGGCCATGCTACAGGCGAGTTGATGCACGACTGGATCGCACCATAGTATAGTATCTATAGCATGACCCCAGCGATGGCTAGACCACATGCAGACAGGATACGCAAACCAACCTATGTATGCTTTAACTGAGCACGTGACCTATGCAAATAACAAGGCAAAAAATAAGAAATGATAAGAGTTGATGCTTCGCCAGCACGCTCCGATATTCACACCTGCGCGGAAATACTAAAACGCGGCGAGTGTGTGCTAACCTAACACGGGTAAATCAAACAAGCGGCAAAACTTTCTTCGTGAACTTTCCAACCTGTCAAATAACACTGTGCCCACAGAACAAATAACAGAGCTCGCACTTCTACTCGGCGCCATATCAGAACGCGGGTTTCAGCTAGCATGGAAGCTGTCCATCCTGCATCGTGACATGTCTTGTCTTGTCTTGTCTGATACTGTACTAATCGCCTGGTGTGGCTATAGACGTACAGGTCACCATGCATCGCTTTGATGTCTTAAATTTTCTTCACGTTTTCTTTACTGCTGTTAATTAAATTTTTAAATGAAGCCACATCAGGAGCAGTCTTGGTAGTAGGTGGTAGTGCATTCCATGTTGGTATTGTCCGGGAATAAAGCGAGTATCTATAACAGTCTTTGTTGGGACAGATGACATTGTAATTCAGTTCATGGGTTTGACGAGTAGTGGGTCTGGCTGAAGCATTTCTTGCCAGGTGGTGACTGATGTTTGATGGAGACCTGAGCCATGCACATGAATGCTAGGAGGGTGTCAATGAGTCGTCAGGTACAAATGGTAGGCTTAAAGCTGACACACTAACCGTGTGCCGCCACAGAAGCGCACAAATCACTAGTGTGATCCAGAACAACGCTTCACAACTAGGGTCCCTCACGGAGACACCAGCTATATGACGATGCACGTTCACGGTAACAGAGAACGAATGTGACAATAACTGCACAATCACTGTGACACCGATCATATGAAAGCAATGAGAGCATGAAATACCACGTCCGAGTTGACCCGTGGCCATTTAACATGATATAACAACAATCACGCAGTTTCCGGATTCTAAACGGAGCGTGAAGGTTCCATGCAGAGCAGGCCCACTCGACACAGCATACCATATTATTGACATGAAAGATAAAAGGACAGAGAGACCGCTGTTCTATCTTCCGCTGTACAGTCTCATATCGTCCTCGTCCGTGTGGTCGCGAGGTATTCGAGGAAGGAGCGAATCAACCCATATCGCGCTGAAACGGTCTAGACAATCTCTATTTGGATACTCTGGATGTGCTAACGGTGTGCCCGAAGTGAGTGCTTGCTATGGGTAAACTAGTCATGATTGCTGTACACGCGGCTTGTTAAGCAAACTTTGCCGTGGGACAGTTACAAGATACAAGATACAGGATACAAGAATCTTTATTTAATGTCAGATATCAAAAACAATAAACTTTAGCCCTAATAATGGGCTATTATTCCGACAAACATAAGTAAATAACAATTCTGGTTAAGAACAAATATAAAAATGTATAAATTTCAGCAGTATATAATATAATCAGGAGTCTATCAATATCTATTGATAGTCAGGAGTCTATCAATATCTATTGATAGACTTCTGATATAATATAATATATATATAATATAACAGTGTACGCATTCCCATTGATAATACACTCTCTGCATGATAATAAAACATTGGAGTTACTATAAAACACAGTACAACATTACATCGCTGGGTTGCACTGCCATAAACCAACTACAGCTAACCATGAGGGTTTGCAGTATTTGTAACGGCCACTAAACATGTCACGGGTGTCAGTCACCGCACAGACTAGAATTAATCAACTATAATATCTCACGACAACAGCACACACTAGCTGTTGCCAACGAGTAAGAATGGCAAATAGAGAATGAAGGTCACCAGTTCAAGGAACGATTTATATGGAAATCTGGATGCTCCCGGTACATTCTCTACACACACGAATTAGAGCATACATACTACGCCGAAACTATTATAGGAACGTGGTCCCACGTACCTTTCCTGTGTGAAGGTGGTTAGAGTTTTACTCATCCAAATTTGATATCTAAATGTGGGATAACCAAAACATTTTGCCAACTCATACATATGAATTATACTTTGCAATGAGAAATTCACCTTTATGGGGTTATTATAGCAGGAAAATGATGGCTAAAGTAAACGGGATACGATGGGTGTTTAGAGATAGGGTTACTACACCACTAGCGCTGTATGTATGTAACCATGTATAACAGCTGTTATATATACAGTGTCTCAACACAGTGGCACCATCTAGTGGTGAACAATGGTATAGCGGTGGCTAAAGCAAACTATACTGGTAGGCGGAAGAACGAAACCAACGACCGCAAAGGCTTTCTGTGCCAGGCGGGGGAGACCCATCCAGATGCGAGGATGTGCGCCGCTATAGCACGCGTGTTTGTAGCCGGCATTCCACCGCAGTATTGGCTTTCACTGTGCAAACCGAGGCTATGAATAGAGAAAAAAGCAGGAAAGCTTTGTGTGGTGTCGAGCTAGAGAGCTATTGACACGAAAGTCCGGAGATCAACACGCTATGAATGCGAACAACGAATGGTCTCTACGCAGCCAACACAAGTACACCACACTAGAAACAGGCAGCAAGCAAACATTTTTACAGGGTTGAGGATAAAAAAGAAAGAGTTAATCTCATATAATACCGCACTGCTTACGTTCACACATATTGGCAAAGCGTTTCAATGCTAGCCTGTCACACATGCGGCATTTCAAATCCAAAGCACTGATTTGAGGATGGAGGAATCGATATGCCACTTATGCATCTTATGCATTATGTGCGATTGCAGAAAATTTGCAGCATTTCCGTATAATATAAGATGCTAAAATCGTTGGCAAAGCGAACAAGTAACAATGGTACGGGGTAGCAAGGCAGCCGGGATACAGAAAAGTAGCCAGTAGACCCCCGAGTCAAAATCACAGAGAGTCATTATACTGCAAGTATCTTTACAACAGAGCCGAAATATATCAAGAAAATCTTTCCTACGACGGCCAACATACACATGAAGTCCCAAGTTTTTACACTTCGCCGACGACAAACAACGCCTAGGAACAGCTACACACACGAATGTAACTCGGCGAATGAATGAGACGAACGCAGAGAAACCCGCAGACGCTATAATCTCCACAAAAAATCTTTGTTGCCGCAATATTAAATGCTCGGGGGTAGTAACTGCTTTCCTAGTCTGCAGTTTCGGCTGCCATGCGGGCACGACAAAGTAGCCGACCAGCACTTTCGTGAAACACTACGCGCAGAACGCGTATTGATTTATTGCATGCACACTGGCTTCGGGAAACTAGCGCGTTACCATGTCGACGCGACAACGGTTCGACCGCAATCTCAAATAAAATGCTGTTTTTGGTCGTGGAAATTCCACACAATAAAATAGTAGATGTTTTGCAATTACTATTCGGAACCTTATATCACAATACCTGCCAAAGTTGTTAGTACCCCAAGATCAGCAGAGGCAGGGGATGGGAAGGCCAACACTGAACAATTCAGCCAAGGGCGGGGAGTCTGGGGACCTAGTAGCAATTTTCGAAAATTCGGAAATGCCATCGTTGCTGAGACAGCTGGCATAGTTGTCCTTCACGTTCATTATATAAATGTGTTCATGCTAGTGAGTGTGCATATGTGTGTTTACTCACGTTGGCACTGGCGCGCATCTGACACGGTGGCCCTGCCCCACGGCTGGTCGTTATAGAAGGGCAAGCAGCGCTCGCAGTCCGGTCCGGTTGTCTTGTGCTCGCACATACACACTAGCTCCTCCTCCAAGTTCTGTCCTGTCACTGCCCTGCACTCACTCGAGTGACCATTACACTTGCACCTGTAACCGCACGGTAATAGGTGATTATGCTGAAAGTAGCACTTGTAACATACAACACCAGGTATAGCGCTGACGATACACTTGCCAATGCATCATGACGACATGTATGCTAATCTACGTTATACCTGCTAATACACACCGACAGCTATACATATATATATAGAGCTATATATATCTGATGTACACCTGCAATGCACAATAGTTGGTGAGAATAACAAAGGCATAAAATACGACTAAAGCTTGAATACACATAATCATATATGTTAAACATGTAATACACTGCTCAGGTATATCAACGAGAGTTACCGTTATTTTCAACTATCTAACGCACATATATTTTTTATCACAGCTGTAAAAGCAATGCTAGAGGTTTATGCATTTTAGCTACGGTATAGCACACCCAAGCGCAGTCCCAGAAGGCAATACTGACGAACGGAATATACTCTGACCTGTGACCACAGCCCTTAACTGGTACTGCCTTAATTTATAATGACAAGGACGTAAGATATATAAGATAATAAATTCGATAGAAGTTATTTGATGCGCTGCCAAGTCTATGCTGCAAGTACAAGCGACAAGTGTGCAGTACGAGCATGAGCCTTTTTGCACCAAATGAACACGCGCTGCAATAAATTCTTGCTCATGTTATACTGCGAAAAGTTTTAATTACCTTGCTAATTAACAAGTCATAAATTACCTAACGTGCAGCTGTTTGGTGGGTCAGTACACGCCCTGTGTAGAAGGCAGGCGAAGCCTTGTTTCTTAGAATGCTTATCAATAAGTATAATTCTTGAGCGTGGGACATTCCGCAGCCAACCACTAACAACCAGCATGAGAGTGAAATAACAAAAACAGAAAAAATATTTCCGGGAACGTAATCCATAACGCATGGGAATCGGCACCAAATTACACTGCCGATCTCTCACCATGGTATCAGGAGTTAATATAGACAAATTTGTCCCCAAAAATGCTATTATTATTATTCGAATTATTATTATTATCACAAGACAAAATTGAAGAACAATTTCTCTTCATTGACTCCTGATGGTATGTTGTCCTCGCTTCCCACTTCTTGCTCCACCCTTAATTCTGCTCCTGCTCTCTCCTGTCTTTCCTTCCTCCCTCTTTACTGCTCGTTGTCGCTCTCTCGCTCCCACTCTCTCTCCATCTCCCTCTCTCTCTACCTCTACCTCTATCTCTATCTCTATCTCTATCTCTCTCTATCTCTGACTCTCTCTCTCTCTCTCTCTCTCTCTCTCTCTCTCTCTCTCTCTCTCACACACAATATTGGCTCGCTTCGCCTATATT